AGGAGAATTGCTCGAGCCTAGCCGGTCGAGGTTGCGGTGAGCCAATATCGCACCATTGCACTCCAGCCTAGATAACAAGAGCAAAACTCCATCTCAAAAAAAAAAAAAAAAAAAATCAGTCCCATTTGGGACGCGCTCTTCTTGTGTCAGAGGGAGAGAGTAATGGTTCTGAAGGCTGTGCTCAGGAGTGCACACATGACTTCCACTCACATTTCAGTGACCAAGCCTGATATCCATGGGATGGAAAGTAAAGCCTCACGTGGGAACAGCCACCAAACTATTGAAAACAACAATACAAGCTACCACATACTTCTAGAAATGCTTTTTGTTTTAGAGTCTATTTATCCAATGATTTTGTTTTGTTTTGTTTTTTGACAGAGTCTTATTCTGTCACCTGGCTCCAGCCTAGAGTGCAGTGGCATGATCTCAGCTCACTGCAACCACTCTGCCTCCCAAGTACTGGGACTACAAGTGCGTGCCACCATGCCCAGCTAATTTTTGTATTTTTTAGTAGAGATGGGGTTTCACCATGTTGGCCAGGATGGTCTCGACCTCTTAACCTTGTGATCCGCCTGCCTTGGCCTCCCAAAATGCTGGGATCACAAGCGTGACCCACCCGGCCCGGCCTGTTTTTTGTTTTTTGAGACTAAATCTCACTCTGTTGCCCAGGCTGGATGGAATGCAGTGGCGTGAATATAATTCACTGCAGCCTCAAACTTCTGGGCTCAAGCGATTTTCCTGCCTCAGCCTTCTCGGTAGCTAGGACTACAGGTGTCACCACACCTGGCTTGTTTTTTGTGTTTTTTTTGTTTGTTTATTTGTTTGTTTGTTTTAGATAGGGTCTTACTCTGTTGACCAAGCTGGAATGCAATGGTGCAATCACCACACATTGTGGCCTTGACCTCCTGGGCTCAAGTAATTCTCCCACCTCAGCCTCTCGAGTAGCTGGGACCACAGGTGTGCACCACCACACCTGGCTAATTTTTTTATTTTTTGACAAGACGGCATCTCACTATGTTGCCCAGGCTGAAATTTTTTAGTTTTTATAGAGACAGGGTCTCACTGTATTGCCTAGGCTAGTTTCAAACTCCCAGCCTCAAGTGATCCTCTCACCTTGGCCTCCCAAGGGTTGGGATTAGGGGAATGAGTTGCCACACTCATCCTTATTTATCCAATGTTAATATAATTTAACCAGCACAGAACTCTTTTGCAATTCTTTCACTTCAAATTTTCTTTTTTTTTCCTTTTCTTTTTCTCTTTTTTTGAGACGGGTCTCACTCTGTTGCCCAGGCTTGAGTGCAGTGGCGTTATCATGGCCCACTGCAGCCTCCACCTCCTGGGCTCAGGGGATCCTCTCACCTCAGCCTCCCAAGAAACTGATATTACAGGTGTGCACCACCACACTCAGCTAATTTTTTGTAGAGATGGGGTTTCACCATGTTGTCTAGGCTAGTCTTAAAACACCTGGGCTCAAGTGATCCCCCAGCTTCCCAAAGTGTTGGGAGTACAGGCGTGAGTCACCATGCTCAGCTTTAAATTCTCTTTAGGTTTGTGTTTTAAATAGTGTATAGCTTGATTTTTTTTAAAAAAATCTCATGTTTCCACTACATTTTGTGCTTTGTATTTTTACTATTTTTTATTTTCTCTTGTTTCTGCCATTATTTTCTTCCTTCTTTTTTTTTCTTTTTTTTTTTTAAATTCTGCAAATTTTGGCCTAGAACTCTACTTCTATTCTTTCAGTGGTAACCCTCAAAACTTTAACATTCATTTTTAATTAAAAGTCTAAAATTAATCAATTTTTTTATGAAGTCTCATTCTGTTGCCCAGGCTGGAGTACAGTGGCATGATCTCAGCTCACTGCAACCTCCACCTCCCAGGTTCAAGTGATTTTCCTGCCTCAGTCTCCCAAGTAGCTGGGACTGCAGGCGCCTGCCACCATGCCCAGCTAATTTTTGTATTTTTAGTAGAGATGTGGTTTCACCATGTTGGCCAAGCTTATCTTGAACCCCTGACTTCAAGTGATCCACCTGCCTTGGCCTCCCAAGGTGCTGGGATTACAGGCATGAGCCAACATGCCCAGCCCCAAAATTAATTAACATTTTTATGGATAATAGAAGGACCTTGGATTGATTGAACTAATAGCTTCAATTCTTCACTCCTCCCTGTGTGCAAACCCTTTGCCATAAACCTTCACAGCTCCCTCCTTCTATAATTCAGAACGCAGCTATGTGACTTACTCTGGCCAGTGAGCTGTAACAAGAGTCTTGAAAATGTGCTTGTGCATTTCCATTGGCTCCCTTCTGCCTCCCTGACATTGCCATGAGAACTTACTCAGTCGACAGCTGGTAAGTGAGAGAAATACTGAGCAGTCAAATCCCCCAATCAAGGTCATCATAGATCAGCTGACCCCAGATGCGTAAGCAAGCCCAGCCAAGCTCAGCAGTGCTTCCTAACCCACTCCCAACAGACTCCAGACGTGTGAGCAACAAATATAGGTGAACAGGCTGGGAGAAGTAGCTAATGCCTGTAATCCCACACTTTGGGAAGCTGAGGTGGGCAGGTCACCTGAGGTTGGGAATTCGAGACCAGCCTGACCAACATGGAGAAACCCTGTCTCCACTAAAAATACAAAATTAGCCAGATGTGGTGGCACATGCCCATAATCCCAGCTACTCAGGAAGCTCAGGCAGGAGAATAGCTTGAACCTGGGAGGCAGAGGTTGTGGGGAGCCAAGATGGCACCATTGCACTTCAGCCTGGGCTACAAGACTGAAAGTTAGTCTCAAAAAAACAAAAACAAAAACAAATATAGGTGACCAGGTATGTTACCTCATGCCTGTAATCCCAGGAATTTTGAAGGGTGAGGTAAGAGGATCACTTCAGCCCAGGAGCTCAAGAGCAGCTGGGGCAACAAAGTGAGACCTCATCTCTATGAAAAAATTAAAAATTAGCTGGGCGTGGTGGTGTGCACCTGTGGTCACAGCTACATGGGAGGCCAATGCAGGAGGACTGCTTGAGCCCAGGAGGTTGAGTCTGCAGTGATTCATGATCATGCCACTGCACTCCAGCTGGGTGACAGTGTGAGACCCTGTCTTTAAATAAATAAATAAACAAATATATATGTCTGAGGTTTTGTGTTTGATAGACACACACACTGATAGATAACTGATACTTTTATAATGCTTTAATTTCAATAATGCTCTTATACTTTCTATACCAATATTCCATTTTCCTGTTTGCCTTTTTTTCTTTTCTTTTTTTTTTTTTTTTTNGAATTTGTGACAGATGATAATTCTGTTTTTTTTTTTCTTTAGTTTTTTTGAGATGGAGTTTTGCTCTGGCTGGAGTGCAGTGGTGCCACCTTGGCTCACTGCAACCTCTGCCTCCAGGGCTCAAGTGATTCTCCCGCCTTAGCTTCCTGAGTAGCTGGGATTACAGGTACACGCCACCAGCACACACCACCATGCCCAGCTAATTTTTTGTATTTTTAGTAGAGATGGTGTTTCACATGTTGGTCAGGCCTCAAGTGATGTGCCCACCTCAGCCTCCCATGTTAGCTAGGCTGGTCTTAATCATGCTGGGATTATAGGCATGAGCCACCACACATGGCCTCGCATCTGCCTTTACTATCACCTGTTATTCTTCAGTGTTCTCTAGTTTCATCGAAATGGATCTAGGTTTTCTTTTTCCTTAACCTGCTTGGGATTCATTGTGCTTCCTGAGGACTCTGTCAATTCTGGAAAATTCTCAGCCATCATTATTGGACAACTGCCTTGCCCACATTCACTTTATTGTCTCCTAACATGACTGATAGGCATAGGATGGACCTTCTCACTCTTACGTTTCCTTGTCTCTCTGAGATGCTTTTTAGGTTATTTTCTTTAAATCTCTCTTCCAGTGCATAAATCTATCATTTGATATTTAACCTTTCCAATAAGCTATACATATACATCCCAATAAGTTATAACTCCTATATGGATCACTTTTACATTTGCCCTTCCTTCCCTCCTTCCTTCCTCCCTCCCTCCCTCCCTCCCTTCCTTCCTTCCTTTTCCTTCCTTCCTTTTCCTTCCTTCCTTCCTTCCTTCCTTCCTTCTTTCCTTCCTTCCTTCCTTCCTTCCTTCTTTCCTTCCTTTCACAGAGTTTCCTTCTTGTTGCCCAGGCCGGAGTGCAATGTTGAGATCTAGGCTCACTGCAACCTCTACCTCCTGAGTTCAAGCAATTCCCCTGTCTCCTCATCCTCCCAAATAGCTGGGATTACAGGTGCCTGCCACCATGCTTGGCTAATTTTTTTGTATTTTTAGTAGAGATGAGGTTTCACCATGTTAGCTAGGCTGGTCTTAACTCCTCCTGACCTCAGGTGATCTGCCTGCCTCAGCCTCCCAAGATGCTGAGATTACAGGCATGAGCTACCATGCCTGGCTACCTGGTGATTTTTCAAGAGTATCTTGATACTCACTTGTGTTTTTAGCCCCTTTGTTTTTCTAAGCATGCTTGTTTTATGTTCTGGTTCTAAAATATCTAATATCTAAAGCAAGTACAGATCCACTTCTGCTGCTTGTCTTCTCTGCTCATTTCCTCAGAGGGTGTGTGGTTTCTGGTTGTGAGTTCATATTTATTTAGAACCCTATCTGTGAGAATTCTTTGAAACCTGGGTTGCCAGTAAGTTCTTCCAGAGAAGGTTTGTGTTTGTTTTGGCCAAATACTATAGGCACCACCTACCCAAGTTCATTCCAAATTAAAACGTTCAGATTGTGGGCTTTTGGACTACGCAAATTGTGTGGCCATGTGACAGCCAGACTTTTTGGCCATGAATCCTCTAGGGGAATGTTTTCCCCTTCCTCTCAGAAGCAAGACACAAAGAGACAACTTTAATTGCTGCCCACATTTGTATGGCAGATTTTCCTCCCATAGTTTATCCTTCACCTGAGGACATATTTCTTCTTGGATCCCAATGTGATGTTGCAATTTGGTTCTTATCCTGCCTGGACCCAGGTGGATGCTGCTATAGCTGGTAGCAGTATCAGTGTTTATCTATCTCCAGAGTGTAAGGTATTTTAGGCTGACTGACTGCACCATGGACTGCATGGTAACCTCTGTGACCTGC